TGTCGGGAGGTGCCACGACTTTCGGGAAACTGCAGATGTTATCGCCAAGGTCATTATCCTGGGCTACCTGGCCACCCTGAAAGAATTACCATTGGGTGGCACTGCCTACCACTGCCTTAGAGACGCCCAGCTCTCCCAAAGGACTGGTTAAGCTGCTCTGGAGGCCCTCCTGATAGTTTGAAAAGAGTGGTTGGGATCACCCCTGTGGATTAAAGCCCCGCTGGAATCTCAGCCAGGCTCCTCATCGAGGGGTGCAGCCTAGCAGGGGGAGTTGCAAGGGTAGGCTTTGGCTCATGCTCATTTGCTCTGCATGCTGGCGGTGTCTGGGTTCTTCAGGAAAATAGACTTAATATCTTTCATGATCAATTTTCTCATCTGGAAAATGAAGACAGTAAGGATTCCCTCAGAGGGTTGGTGTACGGCATAGATGAAATAATGATTTTTGAGGTAAAGTGAGTCGTGTTGTCCACTTGGTAAATGCTTGCTATTATTAACAGCAGTGGTGGTACATGTCTTTAATTCGTCCTGAACACCTGTAAGCTGTGTGCTAGCACTTACCTTGAGGTGGCTCCTTTCTGCTGTGGGACATGCTGGCCATGCCCAGATCCTAAAGCGGGTGACAACAGAGAGAGCGTCGTGAGCATTTAGGTGAGGCGGGGAGACCGACGGGAAGCTGGGTTTGGACATGCGCTCCAGAAGGTCAAGGAGCAGTGTGGGAGAACCCGCCCGCCCTCCGTGCTCAGATGCTGGCTTGGCAGCTCCGCAGAAGGTCGAGCAGCACCACCACCCCGCCCCCGCCCGATCTCGGGGTGCCGTGACAGAGGCGCAGCTAAATGGCATGCAGATGCCATTCCTGGCTCGTTCGTTGATGAGCGAAAAGCGCCAGCGCCTTGTGGAGGCCCCCATTTTGCTCCTGAGCAAAACTTCATTCCTGTTTTTTCATTTCTCTCACTTCCCCTTTTGCCAGTTCCTTCCCCATTTTGCAGACTCTGCTCCCCTCCCCCATGTGCTCTTGTGTGTCCCCAACAGGTGGCGTTTAAGATGTACCTGGGCATCACTCCCAGCATCACCAATTGGAGCCCAGCGGGTGACGAATTCTCCCTCATTTTGGAAAATAACCCCTTGGTGGACTTTGTGGAACTTCCTGATAACCACTCATCCCTGATTTATTCCAATCTCTTGTGTGGGGTGTTGCGGGGAGCCCTGGAGATGGTGAGTGCGGCGCTCTGTCTTCTGGGACACCGCATTGTAGTATGGGAGATGTCTGAAGGGGTGGATGAGCGAGTGAGAGGACGGGCCTTGGGCCCACCCCAGCCCTTTGCCATTTGCCAAGCCGCCGCCGCCACTGTCTCGGGGTTAACCTGGGAAGGACTCTCCCCAGCACGCTGGGCGGTGGTGCGGTCAGCTCTGGGCTGTGGGACATCCACTTCCAGACTGGCGTGGGTAGTGACAACAGCCTCCTTTTGGGGTGCTTTTTGCCAAGTGTCTTCTGACAGGCCTTGCCTTCTGCAAGGGAGCACGAGCTGCCAGTCTCCTTCGAGCGGCCTGTGGGAAACCAGCCCCCGCCCTTTCTGAAGGGCTGCTGAGCGAGTCAGGTCCCATCGCAGGTGGTTCCCAGAGGCCAGGGCCAGGCAGCTGCCCTTCATTTCCCACTGTCATCCAGGTCCAGATGGCTGTAGAAGCCAAGTTTGTCCAGGACACCCTGAAAGGAGACGGCGTGACAGAAATCCGGATGCGATTCATCAGGCGAATTGAGGATAATCTCCCCGCTGGAGAGGAGTGACCAGCCCTGGGACTTGGAGGTGGCCAGCAGGAGCCCTGTGGGGATCAGGGAGCCTCAGTGCTCCTTCGGCCTCCAGAACTCAGTGACTCCTTGACATGGGTGTTGTCTATTCTTCTAACCTTGTTTCCATTCTCCGTGCTAATAAAGGCAGACTGGGATAGAGCCGTGTGCTCCCCGAGCGTGCGCACTCCAATGGAAAGTCCTCTCCCTTCCCCCTCCAGAGGGCTGGATGTCTCATCCCTGGTTGCACTAGAAAGTGTTCAAGCCATTTTACATTCCGGATGGAATTTTTCCAAAGCAAAACCCACGCTGACCCCATGAAGGAGGCCCGGCACACAGACCCTGGGGCCTCCACAAAGCCATTGGCAAATGACTAGGGAACCCAGGGGTATGAGATGCGGGGAGGAGAGGCTTAGGGTGGGGTGGGAGGAACCACTCGCTGTGGGGTGACACACTGTGGGTCTTGCCAGGAGAGGGGAGCCAGTTGTGCCCCAGGCCGCATTCCTTCCTGCTGTTTGGAGGGAACATCTCATTATACAGAGGGGCCATCCTGTTTTTCTTAGAGATTCTTCAATAAAGATCTTCTTGAGTGGAATCCCAATTACGTTCTGTTTGTTCTTTCTGCTCAGTACCAGGAATTGTGCCGCCGTGGGATGATGGGACCACGGTGGTTCCTGGGCCCTGCCTTGAATAAGTCTGTTCCCCACAGACCAGAGGCTGGGAACACTCACATGCCAAGGAGGCTCACTCAGTCCTGGGGTCTAGGGTCTACAGCAAAATATAAAGGTAGACTGTGTCCCAGACCTGCCTAAACTGGGTTTTCTTGAGCTCTGCCCCCACGTTTAGAAAGTTTGGGTGGGAAGACCCTGATACTGGGTACCATCTCTTGGTGCTTCCTGCGTGTCAGATCCGGTGAAGCACCCTGCAAGCAATTACCTAATTCAGAATCATCTCCTTTTCATCTGGGAGGCTGGACTGCCCCACAGGAAGTGAGGAAGTTAGGGTTCAACGCTCTGCGCATCTCCGAGCTCCGTGGTCTCAAGGATGGTGCCTGGCCTGACATCTTGGGGCAGCTTTTAAGGAGCAGAAGCAGCTTCCGACCCATCTATGGTGGAACCTCTGCCAAGATGCAGATTTTCATGAAAACCTTAATGGGGAAGATCACTTCCGAGCTGAACCCTGGGGCACAATAGAAAATGTAAAGGCCAAGGTCCAGGAGCAGGAAGGAATTCTTCCGGGTCAGCAGAGATTGAGCTTTGCTGGCAAGCAGCTGGAAAGTGGACTGCATTTCAGAGTCCGCTCTTCAGCTTGTGTTGAGACTTGGTGGTGCGTTAAGAAGTCCCACTCCCAAAAAGAAGAAGCAGAGGGGAGGTGAAGGCTCAGCTGGCGGTCCGAAAGTACTAGAAGTGCATACATGGCAAAGCGAATCACCGGGGTGGGGAGTGCCCGTCACACGAATGTACTGCTGGGGTTTTTCTGGCCAGCCACTTTGGTAGGCACTGGGCCAAGGGCTGTCTGACCTAGTGTTCCAACAAACCAGAAGACAACGGTGTACTGGTTCAGAAGCGACATGAACTACCAAGAAAAAGCAGGGTCATATTTGGTAGCACTTATCTAGAGAACAACCTAGGGCCTTGAGGTTCAAGTACTTAGGTCTTTGGAGGGAAGGAGCCCCCCAGTCGTGGACAGGCTGAAGTGAGGGGAGCCAGCTGTACATGCTCTGTGCTTGATGTGTGCATTGGGTCTGCAGGGGTAGGGCCAGGATCCTGGGGCCTGAGCAAGAGAGACCTGCCTCCACTGAGGAGGGAGGGAATGGTGATTTTGGGAGCCCATGCATAGGGAAGCTTCTCCCCCTGGGGCCTCTCAGCCTGGAACCCCCCAGGGCAGGCATTTTCTTTTGGGTCAATGCAGTCACAGCGGACAGTGAATGAATGAGAGGGAGCAAGGGAACCCATGCTAGGGCCCAGCTGTAGAAAGCTTTGCTTTGCGTGGTGCCTGCACTCTGCCAAACTAGAGGCAGTGGTCCCACCCTTTCCCTTCTCCAGGGGGCCCTCCCCCTTCCTCACCTCCAGGACCACAGCCTGCTCTGGAGCTGCAAGGGCCCGGCACGAGGGCTTAGGCATTTCCTTTCCCAGTGTTAAGCCTGGGAGGCATGGCAGGGTCTGTGAGCTGTGAATACAAATCCCCTTGAGTGGCTTGGTCCATCCCAGGCCCCAGGTCCTATGTTATGAACCCCGGGTGCCAAGGGAAAGGAGAGGAGCCCCTATTCAGAACCTCACCTCCGCTGGATATCACTTTACTTTCCCATGCCCCAGAGACCTAGCTCTCTGCCCCCCACCACCCCAGGTCTATCTCCACCCCTGTAGTTCTGTAGTTGGCTGTGAATTACGGTATAGTCCCACGCCCCCCAGCACCCTCCACCCCTGTCCTTAAGGTGACAGGTGGGAGAAACCCCGGCCTAGGCGAAACCTCAGACACTCTTTGTACCAACACACTCCCAACAAGAATGGAGCCGTTTTGCCTGGCAACATGGGAGTGCCACCTAATGGTGGGGTGGCGCTGTGTGGGGGGTCATCGAAAGTTCCTCAGGAGCCTGGATCTGGCCCAGGTTCTGCACCGGTGGCCTCCGACGCAGGGCAGGCGGCTGGGAGCTCTGCCGCCTTTGGTCACTAGGGGTCTCTCCATCCCCACTGCATTGTCCCAGGGAAAGCAAGCCCTCTGCGTCCTTGGTTCGGGGAATTTGCTGGAAGATGCACCTGATTGCGCACATTTCAGAAGCGGAACGTGACCCCTCCTCTGGACGCTCCCATGAGTCCTGAAAGCGAAGTCTGCATTGGTGCCAGGACACGCGCTAGGACTCAGGGCATTGGGACGAGCCCGAGGTGCAGGCGGAGGGCGCCCTTAACAACCCTTGCTTCCTGGCGAGGCCAGAGCACCAGCCCCATCCCCGGACGGAACAGAAGCCCGCGTAGCCCCCCACCGCCGACCCCAGTGCCGTTTCCACCCTGTGCGCTCCTCCCCTGCAGCCGTGCCGGGGGTCCGGCTGGGAAGGAGATGACGTCAGAGGCCCGGGAGCAGAAATAGCCCTCCGTAACAGTCTCCGAACAAGCAGTTCATTGTGGCGGTGGGGGGAGCGGCGGGGGACGAAGGAAAAGCGTCCTCCCCAGCTTAAGTGCTACCATGTGCGGTTCCCTGGGAGCCAAAGGCCGTGGGGCGGGCGGGGCGCGGTGAGCGCGCCCAGCCTTTGATGTGGGCCTGGCCGGACCCCAGCACTGCTGGCTGCCGCCGGGGAGCTGTGGGACGCGGCGCATTCCTGGGGGCAATTTGCGCTTCTGGCAGGAGCAGAGAGGAAAGTTTCTACTGTGGGGAGGAGGTGGTGGGAGGGCGCGCGGCAGAGGCTGGGGGTCGGGGGGCGCTGTGAGGAACATGGGGGTGTCAAGGTCCAGGCAGCGCCCTCCTGCGCAGCCTGGGTCACACCCCCGATTTGCAGGACCGCTTCTAGGGCAAGCCTGCTCTGCAGCGACAGCTGCCCCCCAAAACAAGGTACGCACGGCCTTCCTTGTGCTTACCGACTCATCTCCACGTGTGGAAAACGTGAAACTGCTCAGGATGGGATGAGTCAGCACGTGTGTGCCTTGCTTAGTGGGTCATGTGCCCAGCTTCTCTGATGTAAATGAGGGGCAGCCCCACCACACCCAGGTGCCCACCCAGGTGCAGCCTTTGTCCACGGGACACAGCTGAGTACAATGCTATCAGGGGACTTCAAAACTGTACATGGGAGGGGGGCGGGAAATGGAATGAGGAGATCGTGGAATTCTTCATGAACTTGCTGGAGCTCCCCCAGGAATGTGTGACACGTGGGGGGAGGAGAGGAGAGGAGAGGTTGGAAATGAGGGACAAGGGCAAGTCCTCATGCTACTTATCGGCACAATTCGGTCAAACTCTTCGTGCCTCAGTTTCCTCATCTAGAAAATGGGGATGGCAGTCCTTCACATTGACTGCTCTGAGGATTAAACAGGTCCATGTCTATAGATTTCCTGGTACATGCCCACCCAGTAGCTATGGAGTCCTGTGCAGATGACTTCGATGACCCCATGTCTGTGTCAGACCAGGACTGCATACCACAGGGCTTCTAATGGCTGGATCGCCAGACTTTCTTCTGAGATACCTCTGGGTAGACCTGAACCCTCAACCTGCTGGTTAAAAGTTGCGTGTGTCGCATCATCTGGGGTCTCCCGCACATGCCTCGTATTCTATCCCTGCAAGAACGGCTGCATTTGAATTAAGATATTGGTGAAGCATATTGAACGTACTGTGCATTGCCGGAAGAATGAACACATCTGTCTCAGAAGGTACAGCCGGAATGCTCCTTAGAGGCCAGGATGGCCAGACTTCGTCCCACGTACTTTGGACATGTTATTAGAAGAGACGCTGGTGTCTTCCAGAAAAGACTTCCCTGGAGAAGGACAGGTTAACCAGGTAAACTAGGGACTGCGCCCCCCTAAAAAAAAGAGGAACACCCTTAACAAATTGGATTGACATGGCTGAGATATGGGGCTCCCCCACAGCCCCGACTCTGCAGCTGGTGCAGGACCGGGCAGTGTTTCCTTCTGCTGTAGATGGGAGTCCCGGTGAACCAGAACCCTCGGGAGGACCCCTGACACCAGCAACATTAACATTGTTCTTGGGGAAACACTGCTGTGAGTGTCAGAGAGTGTGTAGAGAGTCATTTTGTGATAGCTGTTATTTATTTATTTTATTTTTGGTAAGATAGTTTTATTTACTTATTTTAATCATTTTATTAGGGGCTCATACAACTCTTATCACAATCCATACACACATCAATTGTGTAAAGCGCATTTGTACATTCATTGCCCTCATCATTCTCAAAACATTTCCTCTCCACTTAAATCCCTGGCATTTGGTCCTCATTTTTCCCCTCCCTCCCCGCTCCCCCCTCCCTCATGAGCCCTTGATAATTTATAAATTGTTATTTTGACATATCTTGCCCTGTCCGACGTCTCCCTTCACCCACTTTTCGGTTCTCCGTCCCCCAGGGAGGAGGTCACATATAGTTCCTTGATAGCTGTCATTATCAGGCACCGCCGAGATGGTTCTGACCCGTAGCGGCCCTGTGCACAGCAGAATCAAACACTGCCCAGTCCTGCGCCAGCCTCACCACTGTTCCTCTGCCTGAGCCCATTGTGGCAGCCGCTGTGTCCATCCATCTCGTCGAGGGCCTTGCTCTTTTCCACTGCCCCTGCACGTTACCAAGCGTGATGTCCTGCTCCTGGACCAGACCTATTTGTTCGTCGCTGTCTCCTGAACATCTAGCACAGCTTCTCGACATCCCCTGTTGCCTGCCTGCCTGTGGCCTGATGGAATATGAGTAGCTGGTGGAGAAGGTCCCTGGAGAGGGGCATGTGGGCGGTGTGGACCTTCACCATGATTGGCTACAGTATTTGTGGGGCTCAGTGCAAAATGAAGATGTGGGGACCCTTGTTCAAAAGTCATTATGGGTCCAGCAGTGTGGATCCCTGGGCATGGGGCCCGGGGTAAAGACGCAGGCTGTGCACCCATGAAGTCACCCCTGGTCTCCAC